AATCAAAATTAATTGAAAAATAATGAAATGATTATAATTGCCAAAGATTTAAAGATCATCCTATTTTGAATTTTGTGAACTAAAGAAATACAGAATTTTAATAAAAGAACCAACAAAACAGAAGGAAAATGAAGACTAAAGTTCAAAAGCATTAAATTTTAAAATGGAAAACCATATCATGAATAAAAATTAAATGATTTAAATTCAACATTTCAAAAATTATAAAATCAGTTGAACCTTCAACTGGTGCAAACAAAATAAATCAAAGAATTGTACCATTAACAGAAACCACATCACTTGAGGACTTTCAACTACAAAAAATGCATACAATTAAAATGGATGAAAATTTAAATAATTTCAACAAAAAGTGTTTGAAACAATCATTGAACCTTTGTGACTGATGCTACAAAAACAAAGAACTGTACCAAATAACAGAAACCACATCCTTGAGGTTTTCAACAGCAGCAACAATTAAAATGGATAGAAATGTATAAGTCAAAGAAAATAATCAAAGCCTGTGTCTTGGCAAAGATCATCATTCTTTGAACCTTCTGAACTGGTGCTACAGAGGCAACAAACAAAGAACTGTACCAAATAACAGAAACCACATCAGTTGAGGACTTTCAACAGCAGCAACAACTAAAATGGATATCACATGTAACTCAAAAGAAAAAAATAGGAAAGCCACAGATTTGAGGACTACACCAAAAAATCAAGAAATTCTTCAAAAACAAAGAGAAATTTTTAATAGATCAATAAAAACAAAAAGAAACTGTTTTAAAAACAAAAACCACATTACTTGAAGGACTTTCAACAGCAGCAACATGGGTAAAATTTAATAGCACAATGACTTTAAAAAGAAAATAATGAAGCCTGAAAAATGCAAAGATCATCCTTCTTTGAACCTTGTGGACTGGTGCTACAGAATCAAAAAAAAGAACTGTACCAAATAACAGAAACCACATCAGTTGAGGACTTTCAACAGCAGCAACAATTAAAATGGATATCACATGTAACTCAAAAGAAAATAATGAAACATAATCTTTTAAAATTTTATTGACTTTGATTTAATTCAAAAAAGAACTGTACCAAAATAACAGAAACCACATCATTTGAGGACTACCAACAGCAGCAACAATATAAAATGGATTTCACAAATCAAAATTGAAACTAAAATAAGTGACATAATCAAGATCCTTCTTATTTTTTTGTGGACTGGTTTAAGAATCACAAAAAAGAACTGTACCAAATAACAGAAACCACAGGTTACTTGAGGACTTTATTCAGCAACAACAACTAAAATGGATATTTTATGTAACTGAAAGAAAAATAAAAACATTGAATCATCCAAGACAGATTAATTTAGAAAAACCTTTTGGACTGGTGCTACAGATAGAAAAAAAAACTGTACCAAATAAAAAACCACATCAGTTGAGGACTTTAAAACAGCAGCAACAATTAAAATGGATATCACATGTAACTCAAAAAAAAAAAAAGAACAAAATTTTTTGGCAAAGATATTAAATGTTAATAACTGGTGCTACATGAGAAAAAATAAACTCCCAAAAATAACAGAAACCACATCACTTGAGGACTTTTAAAGCATAAACAATTAAAATGGATATCAATTAACTTAAAAAATAAAAAATCAAATGATGTTAATCAAGATATCAAAAATGTGGACTGGTTAAGAATTGAAAACAAAAACTTTATTAAAATAACAGAAACCACATCAGTTGATTGACTTTCAACAGCAGCAACAAAAAAAATGGATATCACAATTTTAAATTGAAAAAAAAAAAATGAAATAATCAAAATATTTTTTTTTTGATTGTTCTGGTGCTACATTTCAAAAAAAAGAAAAACCAAATAACAGAAACCACATCAGTTTTACTTTTACCAACAGCAGCAACAATTAAAATGGATATCAAATTAAAATTGAAAAAATAAGCCTGAGTGTCTTGGCAAATAATCAAGATCATAATTTGAACCTTTGGAAAAAGACTACAGAATCAAACAAAAAGAACTGTACCAATTAACAGAAACCACATCAGTTAAGGACTACCAACAGCAGCAACAATTAAAATGGATAAAAACATTTAAGTCAATTTTGAAAAAAATGAATGATTTAAAAAGAATAATCAACCTTCTTTGAACCTTGTGGACTTTACAGAATCATAAACAAATAACTTTCAATAAAAAATAAAGAAAATGAATAAAGTTGAGGACTATTTTCAACAAATACAACAACTAAAAATGGATATCACATGTAAAACAAGGTTATGAAAATAATGAAAAATAATCATCAAAGATCAACCTTAATGATTTAATGGACTGTGCTACAGAATCACAAAACAAAGAACTGTACCAAATAACAGAAACCACATCAGCTTTGAAGACTCCCAACAGCAGCAACAATTAAAATGGATATCACATGTAAATCAAAAGAAAATAATTAAGCCTGAGTGTTTAAATATCAGAAAGATCATCCTTCTTTGAACCTTGTGGACTGGTGCTACAGAATCACAAACAAAGAACTATACCAAATAACAGAAACCACATCAGTTGAGGACTTTCAACAGCAGCAACAATTAAAATGGATATCACATATAAGTCAAAGAAAAAAATAAAAAAAATTGTCTTTTTCAAAGAGAATCCTTCTTTGAACCTTGTGGACTGGTGCTACAGAATCAAAACAAAGAACTGTACCAAATAAGAGAAACCACATCAGTTGAGGACTTTCAACAGCAGCAACAATTAAAATGGATATCAAATATATCCTTTCAAATAAAAAAATGAAATGATCACCTGAATGTCAAATAAAAGAAAACATATCACTTGAGGACTATTTTGAACCTTTATTTTAAAGAATCACAAACAAAGAACTGTACCAAATAAGAGAAACACATAAGATTGAGGACTTTCAACAGCAGCAACAACTAAAATGGATATCACATGTAATTTCAAAAATAAAAATAATTAAATCCTCAAGTGTAAAGGCAAAGATCATCCTTCTTTAAACCTTGTGGACTGGTGCTACAGAATCACAAACAAAGAACTGTACCAAATAACAGAAACCACATCAGTTGAGGACTTTCAACAGCAGCAACAATAAATTATAAAATGGATATGAATGTAAGTCAAAGAGAAAAATAAAAAACCTACTTGTCTTTTGATATCATCCTTCAAAAACTTTTGGACTGGTGCTAAGAATCACAAACAAGGAACTGAAACAAAATAACAGAAACCACATCACTTGAGGATAAACCAACAGCAGCAACAACTAAAATGGATATCATAAGGAGTAGAAAAAAAAAAATGAAAATAATAATTTTAATTTGTCTTAAGCATGATCAAACCTTCTTTGAACCTTGTTCTGGTGCTACAGAATCACAAACAAAGAACTGTACCAAATAACAGAAACCACATCACTTGAGGACTTTCAACAGCAGCAACAATTAAAATGGATATCAAATAACTGAAAAGAAAATGAATGAATGCTGTTTGTCTTGGCAAAAATCATCCTTTTTGAACCTTATGGACTGGTTAAAAACTTTATTTTCAAACACATAAATGTACAGGAAAGAAGAGAAAAAACATCACTTGAGGACTAAAACAGCAGCAACAACTAAAATGGATATCACATGTAAGTGAAATAGAAAATAATGATATAATCAAGATTTTTTGGCATTTTATAGTACTTGAATGAAAAGGTTAGGAAGGAAACCTCGATCAGTAGTAGAAAGATCGATAATAGCTAATGGATTTGAGAAACCTGTCTTCCTGAAACATTGTCTTTTTTTAATACTTGGGGAAGGGTTTTTATAAATCTTAATCGAAAGTAATGGTTACGCGGTAAATGAATACCAAATGTTTCCTTATGTAAAAACAATATATTAATTATATATTTTGTCCTTTTCTTTTTCTTCTATCTTCTTCTGGTATTTTTTAAAAATAATTTATTAACTTACGATTTTAAAAAACTTAAAACAAATTTCTTTGTCCGCCGATTTTTATTTTCTATTATGCTACCCTTCTTACACTTCTCTATTCCTCGTCGAAGTTCAAATCATTCCTTCACAAACAAAAAGTTTAAAAAAAATTTTTTTTTATATTTTCCTTTCCTTTTTGGAATATTGACTAATATAAATCATCCTAAACCACCTCATCCAAAATTATTATTATTATTATTAAAAAAAATTTTAAAACTCTTCTTTTTATCTTCAGTTATGAAGGAAACTGAGCCGTAAAAGCAAGTGAGTGGAAAAAAACTGGAGGCGCATCCTCGGTTAGAAAGCAGTCCATTAATCTTTAGGTCAAAAAAATGGGTGGTGATGGCAAAAAAAATTCAGGCATTCTGGATACCTGATACCCGTGAGAAGGACTCTGGTTGATGTTATCACTGCATATGCTTGGGCAAAGGGAGACGAAGGGTGCGGTGTTTAGGAATGGAGCCCTCCTTGGGTGCCTGGTAAAATGAATTTAATACTCATTATCTCGACGCACGTCTATCTGTCTTTTTGCCAAAGAACACTCTTTGAAAATGGACGGGAATCATTACATTAAAAGAAGGAAAGTTGGAAGATGAAATTTAAAAAAGAGATTGATTTGGATTAGATAGATAGATGGATAAATAGAAGAAAATAAGAGATAGAAAAGATGAAAGAAAAAAAGATTCCCAAAAAAAAGAAGAAAAGAAAGAAAAAAAAAAAAAAAATTAAAAAAGGAAGAGATGAAAAGGGATGAAGGTGAAGAAACAAAAGAAAGAAAGAAAGAAAGAAAGAAAGAAAGAAAAAAAGCAGATTAAAAAGGGGAAAGAAAGAAAAAGGGGAAAATAAAGAAAGAAAAGAAAAAAGAAAAGACAAGACAAAGGAAAGAAAAAAAAAAAAAAAAAAAAGACAGTTTAAAAAAGGAAGAGAGATGAAAAGGGATGCAGGTGAAGAAACAAAAAAAAAGAAAAAAAAAAAAGAACTGAAAAGAAAAAAAAAAAAAAGAAAAGATTAATGGAAAAAAAAGGAAAAGAAAAAAAAGGGAGAAAGGTGAAGAAACAAAAAAAAGAAAGAAAGAAAGAAAAAAAGAAAAAGAAAGAAAGCAGAAAAGGAAGGAGAGAATATCAAAAAAAAAAAAAATGAATTAATTAACGAGAAAGGAGAAGAGGAAGAGAGAATGACGTACAAAGAAAGAAAAAAAGAAAGAAAGAAAGAAGGGGTGAAGAGAAAGAGAAAGGAATCAAATGAGGAACAAAGAAAAATTAGATAAAAGAAAGAAAGAATTTTAAAGAAAGGAAAAAAAAAGAAAGGTGAGAAAGAAAAAAAAGAAAGAAAAGAAAGGAAGAAGGCGAAAAAGAAAGAAAGAAAGACAAAAATGAGGAGAAAAGAAAAAATCCAAAGGAACTTTAAAAAAATTAGATAAAGAAAAGAAAAAAAAAAAAAAAAAAGGAAGAAGGAGAAGAAAGAAAGAAAGAAAGAAAAGAAAAAAAAAAGAAAGAAAAGAAAAGAAAGAAATGTTGAAGAAAGAAAAGAAAAAAAGAGGGTGCGAATTTGAATTAAAAAGGGGGAAAGGATTTCCTTTGAGGGATAAAAAAGAAACAAAAAAAGAAAGAAAAAAGATGGGTGAAGGGAGAGAATTTTATAAAAAAGAAGGGGGGTAAATGAAAAGGAGATAGAAGATGAGGGAATAAATAGACGAGGGGAGATAAAGAGAGGTTTGAGAGTGATAGAAAAAGAGAGAGAGAAAGAGTTAAACCTGGGGAAGAGAAGGATAAAAGAAAGATGATGGATATGAAAGAAAAAAAGGAGAAAAATTTGTGGGAAAGAAAGACAGGGGAAAGAAAAGAAGAGGAGGGAAGGAGAATAAAAAAGAAAAGGATGAACGTGAGAAAAAAAGCGAGAGAAGGGAGGTTAGTGTGAGGGTGACAGAATGAGAAAGAGCCATTAGTCTGTGGAAAAAAAAGAGAATTAAAAAGATAGATAAATTGAGATTGACAGAAAAAAACCAGATGAAATGGAGAGAGTACAGAAATTGGAAGGGCGAGGGTAAAGAAAAAAAAAGTTTTGAAAGAGAAGGATATAAAAGAAAAATGCCCTGAAAACTATTTAGAATGACAGAAAAAGAGAAAGAAAGGATTGTTCTTGGAGGAATACCATTTAAAGGGGCAGGTTTTTTGAGGAAAAGCGGAAATGAAGGTGAAAAAAAAATATAAAAGAAAACAGAATTGATATTGAGAAGGATGAGAAAGAATGAAGGAACAAAAAAAAACATGATATTAGAAATAAAAATTTTAATTAATATAAATTTATAAAAAAATATTTTGATTAGATTGGAAAAGAAGAGAGAAACTTAATTAAAAATGATACAATGAGAAAGAAAGAAGAAAGAAATTTTGAAAAAGAAAAAAAGAGAATATTTTTTGAGATTTTATGTTGGCAAATGAGAAGGAAGGGGAAGAAAGTGAGAAACGGAGGAAGAAAAAAGAGTGGTTGAAGTGAAAAAAATGGAAAAATTTTGAATGATTTTGAATAAGAAAGAAAGAAAGAAAGAAAGAAAGAAAAAAGAAAAGAAAAAAAAAAAAAAAAAAATGTAAAAAAAGAAATAAGACAAACACCAATGGGAAAGAAAGAAAGAAAAAAAAAGAAAGAAAAAGAAATAAGAAAACGATACAATGGGAAAAAAGAAAGAAAGAAAGAATGAAAAGAAAAAAACTTAGAAAGAAAGAAAGAAGGAAAGAAAAAAAAATTAAAACGATACAAGCTAATAAAAAAGAAAGATAGAATGAAAGAAAGAAAAAAAAGAAGGAAAATGAAAGGATGGAGAAGAAAAAAGAAAGAAAGAAACAAAGAAAGAAGGAAAAGAAAAAAAGAAAAGAAAGAAAAAAAAAAAAAAAAGACAAACGATACAATGGGAAAGAAAAATGAAAGAAAAGAAAAAGAAAAGAAAAAAAAGAAGGAAAAATGAAAGGATGGATCAGATGTAAAGAAAGAAATAAAGAAAGAAAGAAAGAAATAGAAAATAAGACAAACGATATAATGGGAAAAAAGAAAGAAAGAAAAAGAAAAAGAAAAAAGTTCTTAAAAAAGAAAGACATGGTATTTTAATTCCAAAGAAAGAAAAAGAAAAAAAGAAAGTGAAAAAAAAGAAGTCAAAATGAGAAAAAAAAGTGAGAGAAGAAAATTAAAAAAAGATATGAAAGAGAAGCACATTTTAAAACTGTGAGAGGAAGGGAAAGAAAGAGTGAGAGGATGAAGTGAGAAATGGTGGGAGAAAGAAAGAGTATGAGGAGTATGAGTTGGAATAGGAGAAAGTGAGAGAGAGAGAGAGAGAGAGAGAGAAAGATAAAGACCAAGAGAGAGAAGACAAAGGGATACAATGAAAGATAACGAATGGTATAGGATAGAAAGAAAAAGAAAAAGAGAAAGAGAAAGAGATAGAATGAGAAGTCAAACGAAAGAGAAAGAGTAAGAGAGAGAGAGAGAGAGCATGAAAGAGGCAAGAAAGAGGAAGGAAGAGAAGATCGAGAGGTTGAAGTGAGAAATAGCGGGAGAAGGAAATAGTGTGAGTTGGAATAAGAGGGAGGGAGAGAGAAAGACAAATTAATACAATGAGAGAGAAAATAATTATTTATTACATATATATAAAGACAAAATAAGCTGATGCATACACACATAGATACAAAGCCAGTCCCCCTAAATATAAATTTACAATTTCAAACGCAATGGAATTGACACGGACGCACGACATAAAATAAGAATATATATATATATATATATATATATATATATATATATATATATATATGGGAGATATGATGGAAACGAATGCAGTAAATTTGTTTTAAAACTTCCCACCAACCACTTCACCAAACGATGACAAAGCAAACACAGAACAAAAAGGCGAATGTCAGCTATTAATACACACCTATTTTTTTAAGAATATCGGCGAAAATGGCCTCCGAGAAAAACAGATGTTAAAGACTGTCAGACTAGCTTCGCGCACACACTAACCCCAAGCGGATCCCTAACACAGTTCTCTGCGCGATGTCTATAATGTCACGAAAACCACAGTCATAAGGAACGGAGTCCATAAGAATGCGGACAGAAGAGGGGGTCATCAAGAAAACGTATTAGGATCAGTGGTTCAAAAGACTACCATTTCAAAGACGTAATAATGTCGGTTTTTGACGTATTTTTAACGTCAAAAAACGACATTATTACGTCATTATTTTTGCACCAACCTAATAGAAAGATAACTGCCGAGACAAAACAGGAGCTCAAGGCCTGGAGATTCTAGGATGGAGCTAATTAATCCTCACTTCCCAGCAATCTCGAAATTGTTTACATGGCCTTAAGGGTGATGAATTATTTACCATTTTACAACGTCTTTACCCTAGACGAAAACTAAATTGTTTTTTTTTTTAATTTGTTTTCTACGGCCTATTTGCAGATAATTTAAATCCAGAAAATATTAGTATCTGTGTATATTTCTGAGATGAGGTATTATGCACACTATTTACATTGAGGAGGAGTAATGGATAGCGGCTTGGATTGAGGAATCGGAGAGCCGAGTTCAAATTCCAGTCGAATCCATTACATTCACTTACGTGCTAATACCCTTGGGGAAGGTGTTAATACTCTTCTTCTCCCTCCAGCTATGGGTAAATAGCAGGACAGACTGGGTTCTATAGCCTTGGATGGCAACTGGTCTAGGAGAAGGAAAACTCTGAATTCAAAACCTGCGGGGGGTGAATGGAGCCTCTCTGAGCCTTGGTTGGCAATCCATTTAGTGATGGTGTCACGATAAAAAAGCACCCTTGATAGTCCTAGCGAAGCATCAAGAATTCAGCTATTTGACAAGATTATGAACTACACCAATCAAAGTATTAGCTATGAGTTCAATAAGCTAGAATACTGGAAAGATGTGATAGTTCAATCTCATTGAGGCCGCAAGATGATGATGACATTGTTCAGACTATCATCCCCATATTTGTTGCCATATTTATTACAACGTTTCGATGTTGTACGCTCCGGCCTTCTTCAGGTAGTTGGAATGTCTTTTCTTTTAGATTTCGCGGATAATTGTCGTGAAGTTCCAAATAAAATAATTTTATCCAATATGACATGTCCTCAAGGACACATGGCACAATGGATAAAGGCTGTTAGATCCAGTGACGGGACCTAAAGAGTTTGAGTTCAATACCGTTTTAAGGCAGTGGAGAACTTGCAGAGGTGAATTAACAGGAATAACTGATGGCTGACATCCATTAAACATAGTATGGAACTAGAACAGTCTAAATAAAATAAAATTTTCATGAATTTTTTAAACCTGAAAAATTAAATTAAATATTAGTTTATTTATATATATGACAACAAAGATGAAGATGATAGTCCGAACATTGTAAATAGTGCAGAAAATATTACTTGCATTATTTATATAATTTGGACTGTTATCGCCAACTTCATTGCCATATTCACTTTCTGGCTTTAAATAACCTTTAAATGGTTGATAAGCCGTAAAAAACGAATCAATACCCTTGAGAAATATTTGAACTCACTTCGTCTCCCCTAGCTATCGGTTAATTAGTAAGGTTTCTCCAAAAAAGCAATGAATAACAACAAAAATTGCAATATAAGATCTAGTAAAATATGCAATAATAATAACAGAAAAAAATGAAATATGAGCATTGGTAAAAATGATCACTGAGACATTACGTTCATAAGTACACAAATGGATAAAGACGGTTATTAGACTGAAGGGAGTTCAATACCAGGTCACCGCAGTGGTGAACCAAAACTTGTTGAGTTAAAGGGAAATAACTGAGACATCCGGAAGAGGCATAGCACGTGGAACTAGAACAATCTACTCCGGTGGACGAGATAAAGGGTTCAGTTCAAAATTCGCATCACCTCAAGAAGGCCGGAGCGTACAGGGGCCGAAACGCCGTGAACATGACAATAAAAAGGAGGGCAACAGTTCGAATAATATAAATACATTTCTTAGTTCCACTAGTTCAAACTTTTACTGTTAGGACCCGATTTGACACATATAAGGGTCGACACTATCGTTTGTATTTCATTGGTAAGAACTAATTTGAATCGATTCTTTGTGGAGCAGTCTCCTGAGAGGATGACTCTTCTATCAATACGATTGCATCAACCTGTTCAAATTTAGAGCCAACCGTTAGCTACTTTCAACAACTCTACCTTGAGTGCCTCTTTGGGTCTTGTATAATAAAAATGTATCATTAGAACAAAGTCAATGACGATATGGGCCTTAAATCATACATCAGGTTGTCAAACTGAACAAGACCTGGAAACTAAGAAAATGCAAAAGTACTTTAAGAATTATGTTTCTCTGACATTGAAGAGAATGGTATGTCACAGAGTCAGTTGTTACGGAGTCCTTCAGAGCTAAAAATCCAGCTCAGTCTTAGGTGTTGTGTGCAGCGAAGAAAAAGAAATCGAACATACAAAAGATGTCTCAATTCTCTTACAATCTCTGAGAGAATGTGGGTTTAGACTTATTTATAAAATCTTGATGACCATGTTTTTGACATTTATTTGGTTGGACGTTGAGGCCAACTATTTGTTATCCATAGGACATATAAAAGTCAAGGCATAAAACCAAAAACGGACTCTTACCTCATGGGTTTTTTTTGCCTAGACTTTAAATTGATAAGCTTTCTGTCCCAATGAGTTGTATTACTTACATTTATTGTATATATTTCTGATACAAGGTATTATGTACATTATTTATATTATTCGGACTACTGTCCCCATCTTTGTCGCCATATTTATTACAAAGTTTCAGGCCATAAAAGTTTCTGTCTATATCAAGATGAGTATATTTCTTAATTATCATACATTATTTACATTATTCGGACTATTGTCCTCATCTGTGCCATACCATATACATTACAAACGTTTCGGCCTTTCAGTATGTCATCTATATTTCTGAGATGAGATATTATGTACACTATTTACATTATTCGGACTATTGTCCTCATCTTTGTCGCCATATTTATTACAACGTTTCGGCCTTTCAGTATCTGTCTATATTTCTGAGATGAAAGTATTTATGTACACTGTTTATAATATTCGGACTATTGTCCTCATTTTAAAATCGCCATATTTATTACAACGTTTATGCCTTTCAGTATCTGTCTATATTTCTGAGATGAGGTATTATACATACACTATTTATAATATTCGGACTATTGTCCTCATCTTCTTCGTCATATTTATTACAACGTTTCGGCCTTTCAGTATCTGTCTATATTTCTGAGATGCCCTAACATATTATGTACACAATTTACATTATTCGGACTATTGTCCTCATCTTTGTCGCCATATTTTTACAACGTTTCGGCCTTTCAGTATCTGTCTATATTTCTGAGATGATATATTTATTTACATCATATTTAAATTATTCGGACTATTGTCCCTGTTCTTTGTCGCCATATTTATTACAACGTTTCGGCCTTTCAGTATCTGTCTATATTTCTGAGATGAGGTACCTGTACATTATTTACATTATTCGGACTATTGCACTCGTCTTTGTTTAAATATTTTTTACAACATTTGTTTAAGTTTTCCCCTAAAAAAATATTAAAAATTCAAATGTACAGTTCATTGGAATCCAAATATCTTTTAGAATGAACCCTTTATTTTGCTCACTGAATTAGGACTTTCTCAGAGTATTTTCCTGATTTTTAATGGATAAGAAGTTTTCAGTTATCTCTGTTAACTTCCCTGTTGAAAGTTCTCCAATGCCTTCATATTTTGGGACTTAAACTCACTCTTTGGGTCCTTTCACTTCTCTTTTGCGACGCCTTTATCCATTGTGCCATGTGTCCTTTATTCCGATTTCAATGGTAATAAGGAACAAAATGAAACATCTTCTTCCTGGAATTCTTAAAAAGTGGAACAGACTAACTAAAAATTTTTTTCAAAGATCAAATGGTTTCAATTCCACAGTCAACGGTTATCTATACTACATATTATCATAATAAGTAGTTCTTATTTTCTCTCTTTGGATACTTATATCTCTCTGTAACCTTCTAACACGAGTGGCTCTTGAGCCTTGTACATG